AGGTCCTGATACATTCATTGTTGAATTCTATGAGAAATTTAGAGATCTAATGCCACTACTCCTCAAATGGATTAATGAAATTGAAAGGGAAACAATACTCCTAGACTCATTCCTGGAAGCAAGCATTACCTTGATACCAAAACCATTGAAAGATCCAACCAAAAACAAGAATTACATGTCAATCTCCCTCCTGTACATAGATGCAAAAATCCTCCATAAGATACCCACAAACAGAATGCAGAAAATCATCAAGAAGTTATATACCATGACCAAGTAGGATTCAACCCAGGGATGCAGGAATGGCTCAACATATGTAAATAAATAAATGTAATAAACTGTATTAACAGTGCCAAGGACAAAAACTGTATGATCATCTCAGTAGATGCAGAAAAAGCTTTTGACAAAGTCCAACACCTATGCATGATATTCATGATAAAAACCCTGCAGAAAATTGGAATAGATGATCTTTATTTCAATCTGATAAAGGCCAGCTATGACAAATAGCCAACATCATACTAAACAGGAACTAGACAAGGATGTCCACTGTCACCACTCCTATTCAGTATAGTTCTAGAACATTAGACAAAGTAATTAGACAAGAGAAAGAAAAAAACAGAATAAGGATAGAAAAGGAAGACATTAAATTATCATTATGTGCAGATGATATCATAATCTACATAGAAGACCCCAAAAACTCCACCAACAGACTTTTAGATTTAATAATTAAATTCAATAGCATATCTGGATACAAAATCAACATTCAAAATCTAGCATTCCTGTACACAAACAACAAACTCACTGAGAAAGAAATTAGAGAAACTGCACCTTTCACAATAGCATTCAAAAAATGAAATACCAGGAATCAACCTAATGAAGGAAGTAAAAGATGTCTACATTGAAAACTACACTACTCTGAAAAAGGGGATTGAAAAGGATATCAGAAAATGGAAAGATACCCTTTGTTCTTGAGTAGGAAGAATCAATATAGTGAAAATGGCTGTAATCCCAAAATTGTTATACAGATTTAACGCAACCCCAGTCAAAATACTAATAGCATAGCTCACAGATTAGAGAAAACAATCCTAAATTTCATTTGGAACCAGAAGAGACCTAAAAGAGCAAAAACAATTCTGGGCAACAAAGGCATCACAATCCCTGACTTGAAATTATACTCAAAGCTACAGTGATAAAACCAGCATGGTACTGGCAAAAAACAGACCCAAGGATCAATGGAACATACTAGCAGATTCAGAAACAACCCCAGACATACTCAGCCACCTTATCTTCGACAAAGAGGCCAAACACCTTCACTGAAAGAAAGATAGTTTGTTTAATAAATGGTGCTGGAAAAACTGGTTTTCCACATGCCAAAGACTACAACTAGGTCCATATCTCTGGCCATGCAGTAAACTAAAATTGAGATGGATCAGAGATCTAAATATTAAAACAATCAACAAATCTGCTGGAAGGTAGAATAGGTAGAACTATTAAAGATATAGGTGTAAGGAAAGATTTTATAAACAAAACCCCAGGGCTAGGGATATAGCTCAGTGTCACAAGCACCTGCCTGGCAAGTGCAAGTTTGTGAGTTCAATTCCCAGTACCAAAAAATAAAAAAATTAAAAAAAAAACCAATCACACAGGAAATATCAGAAAAAATCAACAACTGAGATTTCATCTTATTAAAAAGCTTTTGCACAGCAAAAAAACTGCCAACAGAGTGAAGAGACAACCCACAGAGTGGGAAATAATTTTTGCCAGCTGTTCCTCAAAGGACTAATATCTAAAATATATAAAGAACTCAGAAAAATCAGACCCCCAAATTAAAGGCCCAATCCAAAAAAAGGCATCTGAGATGAATACATACTTCTCAGATTAAGAAGCACAAACAGCAAATGAATATATGAAAAAATGTTCAACATCACTGGTCATTTGAGAGACGCAAATTAATATAACACTGAGATTCTATCTCACCCCAGAAAGAATGGCTATTATCAAGAAATCAACCAATAATAAAAGCTGGCAAGGCTGTGAAGGAAAAGGAATCCTTCTCTACTGTTGGAATGTAGTCTGTTGCAGCCACTGTGGAAAACAGTGTGGAGATGCCCCAAAATCTAAAGCTAGAGGTTCCATTTGACCCAGCTATTCTCTTTCTTGGTATCTTCCTGAAACAATTAAAAGCATCATATCACAGCAATATATGCACACCCATGTTTATAGGAGCACAGTTTGCAATAGGTAAATGTTGGAAACAGCTCAAATGCCCATCAACTGATGAATGGATAAAGAAGATGTGGGTTTTTTTACACAGTGGAGTACACTGTGCCATACATAAGGATAAACTTGAGACCTTTATAGGTAAATGGATATAACTTGAAACCATACTCATCAATAAAATAAATCAGACTCACATATGTAAACAGTGTATTGTCTCCCTAGTATGAGAAGTAGAAAGTATAAATAGGGACCAAAATAATAGATATTGTGAAATAGGAAGAAAATGTTCAAAGGGGAAGGGAAAGAAAGGACAGGAAGGGAAGAAGGAAGGAAGAAAGGAAAGGAAGGAAGGAAGGAAGGAAGGAAGAAGAAGAACATAAAGAAAATAGAAGAAAAAGTGGAAAGAAAGCTTTTGTAAGTAAGGAGGGCAAAAGGGCTTGAAGAGAGCAAAGGAAAAGGGGAAGAAAAGAATTATGATATATCATGTACTGGTACAAATTCCACATGATGGATGTTATCATTATGTATATCTAAAATGTACCAATAAAATTAATTAAAAACAATAAAAATTTTAACAAAGGTAAAAAAAGAAGTGAACTTTAGAAAATGAAACTTGTAACTAGAATCTTAGAGGAGAAATGAAGAACAGACTATGTTCATAAGAGTAGTGTTGAATTTAAATAAACATATAGAAATTAAAATATGATAGTTGAAAAAAATAATTCAATAGAAGGAATTAAAGATAATGCTTAAGAACTGTCCCAGAAAGTTGGACACAAAAGAAAAGATGATAGGGTGACAGAAAAGAATTGGAAAATATCTACAGAGAAAGAGAGAGAGAGAGATTATTATCAATGTAATATAAGAAATTTTCAAGGGCTCTAAGAATAAGTCTTCATACAGAAAAGATCTGCCCAATGCCTACCACATGAACCAAAACCCCATATTTAGAATACACTAAAATCTTAGAGCACCATGATCAAAGAAACGTCCTCAAAGTACTGGGGAGGGGGACTAGACTACCTGCTATATTTGCTGTATGACTCATAATCAGTTATTGAGGATTTAGGTCATCCTACCAAGTTTAAGCAGATAAAACATTTGTAATTTGTTATAAAATGGCTTACACTACTGTGGGAAAGGCTAATGAAACAGGCTCTAATTTGAGCTTCCAAGAATTATGCCGAGTCATATTGCAAAACCAGGCCACCAGCAGAACTTCTGCCCTCAGCTTGAGGAGGGAAGCAGCACCAAGAGCCTGACCCACAGGAAACGTCACTGCTACACCATCTTCAGTGCTGCCTGCACAAGCCGCAGTGTACTGTATTAGCCAGCTTTTCATTTCTGGGAAAAATACCTGACATAAAGTAAAAGGTGGAAGGGGTTATTTTTCGCTCACGACTTGAGAAGATTTATTCCATGACTCTGCACCATGGTGGAAGAGTATGGTGAAGGAAAGCTGCTGAATTCACGGCAGCCAGGGAGCAGAGAGATAAGCAGAGTCAGAGAGGAGGGGGCCAGAAATAGTCCCCATGCGCATGCCCCCATGACTTACCTAGAAACACCCAGATGTGTGCTTCACTAACCTCCTCAGCATCTCTCAAGCGATTCCAGTGGACAATCAAGCTTAGCCACTGCACATACCAACAGAGTGGATGCCCCAGGCTCTAACTCTGTACTGGCACAAAACTCAAGTCCAGACCGTAAGATCACCAGCACAACTATTAGAGATAATTGCTAACGTTGACTGATAATGATAATGTTCACATTCCACATCACATTAGTGCAACTAATTGATAGAACCTAAACTATACCTGGAAAACTAACAGCAAAGGAAGTCTCAGGAAGCAGAACTCTCAGGTTTCCAGTGTCTCCAGCATATGAAGGCACGTTAGAAAGTTGTGAAGGCTGGAAAGCCAATCACACTGTCTATCTTAGTCTGGCACACACGTCCAGCACACACACCCTCTTCTTTGCATAAACTCTTGCACCACAGTTGCCATTAACTATGCTTAAACTCTCTATAAAAGGAAAGAATCCAAATCTTATCAGTCCCTGTACCCACTTCTCAATCTAATATTGATGTCCTGAAGCCTAGCATTTCTCAAAACCTAGCCTGCTTTAGAATCACACAGCGATGGCAAACCTTTTAGAGCTTTCAATGATGACAAACAGCTCACTGAGGCATTTCAATGATGACAAACGGCTCACTGCGTAGGCTCACCACGACTGATAGAGGTTTCATTTAACATGAATTATAAAGTACTACTCCCAATGATTCTGATTCCTTTAGTCTGAGATGCAGCCCCCAAATTTGCATTTATAGCAGTTCATAGGGGATGCTAATGCTGCTTGTTCAGGGACAACAATCTCGGAATGGACAAAATCTACAGAATCAATTGTGTCATTGGTAAAATTGTAACCTTTTCTGAATGTTTATTGTTACCTTTGCCCTCAACCAGAACTGAGGTTGTCAAAGTGCCTGAACTGTTCTGTGGGGATTATCAGAACAAGCTTGGAACACATGAGGTGCACCTCTGCCATCATGGGGTCCTTGAAATATGACATGAAACAGAACATCTCTCTCTCTTACCACTAAGTGAGGTTCATGTATGCATAAAATATACTTTTGAGTTAAAACATAACATTTGAGGCTTTATCTGTTACATTAACTGGTATTGCTCAATGAATTCAAGATTGCTTATAAGTAAATATTGAAAACACACAGCACTGCTTTGGTTGTTCTGGGGAAGGTGAGACCATTGACATCAGCAGCTACAGTGATGGCAATACATGCAATACCTTCTCCAGGCATTTGGGAGCCAGAGGCAGAGCCTGTAGAGCAAGACGAAGAAATCCAGCAGCAAACAATAGGAATTGGAATAAGGTAATGCCACAAAGCTTGCTGTTCTTACAGAAATTGGGCCATTTTTCTTGAGTAAATACTCCCTGGACTGTTGTGAGACTTTGGTTAATTTTCAGTGATCAGGAAATGTTGATTCTGCCAGCTTTGCCAGCATTCCCATGGTTTTTATGGAAACGACCATTCTCAGAGTTCTTGTGCCACCACACTTGCTGACATTATTCTAAGGCTACGATTAGAACACAAGTCCTCTCACCCTTAACCAGTTCTCCTTTGATTTATGCACAGGGTTGTTGGGCTTCATGTGTATCAGAATTACCTAGAGGGCTTGTTAAAATACAGCTGAGTACCATACCTAGCATTTCTGATTCAGGTTTGAAACTGAACCTGAGAATTTGCATTTTTATAAAGCACTCAGGTAATGCTGATGCTGTTAGTCTGTAGATTTCTCTGAAGGACTACTGCATTATCCTACGTGGTTCCTTCAACCTACTACCCTAGGGTATGCGTCCCAACTATAGAATTAACGATATACATAAGCTAATCATCCATAGTTTATCTAGGTAATGTATAATAACACAGTACATAAACTAATATGCATTTAGTACTTCATTCTAGGCATGATATGCTTTACACTGACTTGGTTATTTAATTTATACAATAACCCATAAGTAGGTATTGTTAGTTTCCCGTGTTTAAATAGGAAATCAAGACTAGAGAGTAAGGCAGTTGTCTAGACACATGGAACTATAAATCAGGAGCTAGTGAATATCTCTATTTAACTCTAGAGTACGTGTGGTAGGCCTGCATCCTAGCATTCTCAGAGAGCCACATCGATCACTTTCGATGCATTGGATGCCTGTCCTTGGGACATGGATGCAGGATTAAAAACAGTGACTCAGGCAATGAGGAAAGTGATTGCTATTTTGATTCTTTTTTTTAATCCTTTAATGACATCATGATAAAAATGTCATCTAAGTGCTGTGCCTTTGACATGTGCCTACTGCTAGATAATTTACCCTCTCAACAAAGTGGATTTTAAGCTCAACCAGAGCCGTTAGTGGCAATAGCTTCTGACCAGAATTCTCAAATATTATTTTACTTCCACTTATAGTTACTTTCAACCTAAGATAGGTGATGTGAGTTTTCTATTTACAGCACTTTAACAGCTTCCTTCTTAAAGAAACTGAAAACACATTTGCTTAAAGAAATGGAAAATAGTGCGAGTAGAATACACTGATGTGAAAAAATTGAAATTTGAGAAACCCTGCATCCCAAAGCAGGTTAGTGCCTCCCACTGGGCCAAGGTTCAAGACTCTAAAGGGAAATTAGAGGAATGTAATTAAAATATGAATTCTCTTGCAAAGAGGGAGCGACCTGGATAGAAAAGAGTTACAACTCTTGCAGCAACATGTGTAAAGGCATTGTAATATCAAGGGGGAAGCGGTTTCTTGGTAAGATACGTACCACGAGGGAGGGCTGGAATTAAACTTGGTTTCACAAAACGTCTAGCATATTCTCATAGCCTAAATTTCCATAGTAAAATTTTGGATTGTGCTCATCAACAGACAGAAAAAAAATTAGTCTCACTTCCCTGCGGAATTTTAGTTGTCAGATGACAGCACAAGAAAAGGGGCTCTTAATTCGTGAGAGAGGACACAAGACAAGTACACCCCGGGGAACGGCACTAAAGGATGAGGAGGGGAGGGTACAACGTACCAGAGAAAGACAGGACTGTAACCAGGGAAGAGGGCATATTTAGGGATGAAAAAAGAGGACATGTGCAGAATGAAAAAACAATTTTGCACCACTGACATAATTACCTAAATCGTCACCCTGGTTTACATTAAGCAAGGTGTCTGGGGGCTACAGCTGTTGCTTTTATTTTGGTTGCCTGTGACGGGAAAGGTTACTTCCCGGCTTGCCAACCCATCGGCCTCTGTAGGTAAACCGCAAGGCTCTGGTCAGGCCAAGGTTGCAAAGCCGGGCCCTACCCGCGGGGGAGAGGAGGGCAGCACTGGGCAGCGCCCGGAGCCGGCCTGGCAGCACGCCCTTCTCCCTGCTGTTGTTTCTCTTTTCCCACTGATATCGAAACTACCATTGACTGGGTTTTGCGCCAGGAGACCCTCGTCTTGTTGGGTTTCCAGTGCAATTAAGATCAATTCTGACGCCTCCATTTTGGCAGCTGCCGTCGGCGTCACCCAAAAAGTCTAACTGCGCCAGCTCTGCCCTCGGCCCCCAGCCCGTCCCCGCCCAGACCCCGCCCCCTTCCCCCAGCCAAGCCACAAAAGGCTGTGCAGTTTCAGCCCCAACACGTGCCCCGCCCCCTCCCCAAACGTCGCAGTGCTGCAGGGAAAGGAGGTGGGGCCAGTAGGGGGAGGTGGGCTCGGGCCTCGTCTTTCCGCTTTTCGGCCAATCCGTGCAGCGCCCCTGACAGAGACGCGGAGCCCGGTGCAGCAGACAGTTCAACTATTTTCCCCTTTTCTGCCACGTCCCAACCATTGACGCGAGCCCACTCTTCGAGTTGCGATTGGGTGTGTCCATTTTCCCCCCTGCAGAGGCTGCTGGCATTTATTGGACAGCACTGCCTAGGGGGCGGGGCTTACGTGCTCGCCCCGCCTCCACCGCGGCGCGAGGGGCGGGGCACGCCGCTGCCGCCTCTGCTTCCGCCGCCGCCGCCTGCCGCTGCGCGCTCGGCGGGGGAGGAGTCGGAGGCGGAGAAGAAGGCGGTGGTGGCGGGTGGCGGATCGAGCGCCGTTCGCGTTCCGGAGCCGCTTCGCGTTTCGGTGAGGGGATTTTTTGTTTCGCAGTCTGGCCTGTTCTGATGTCGGGAGTGCGGGGGTCGGGGCGCGGAGACCGCTGCCTTGCGCTGCTCCGCGTCCCGGTCTCCGCAGAAGGGCGGCGGGGCCTGTCGGCGGCCCGCGGCGCGGCCATGGTGGGTGGGGTTGCGGGCCGTGGCGGCCTCTTCGCCTCCCGGCC